GAGGGCTCTTTGGAATTTCCATTCCTGCTTTTTTTCTTTACAGGACCTACTGTCACTCTGTGATTGCTGATCCATGCTTGACTGCCTCAAGGGGTCCTGGCAAGATGGCATCTTCCAGACTTCCCATCCTTCTAGCATTGGCATTTTCCTCTTTGTCCTTTGTTCTTTCCCATTTGAACAGGGAGATGTGGTTTCAGGATTTCTTTCCACCTAACGTGTGCCCTATAAATGCCAAAGCCAACACTTTTTACGGCATAATGTTTGACGCAGGAAGCACTGGAACCCGGATTCACATTTACACCTTTGTGCAGAAGAGCCCAGGTGAGACCCCGTGTCAGTCTGTGCGCTTGGAGTATGTTGACTTAGGTTCCAGCTTCCCAAAAGAGCGTTTTTTTTCCCAACACAGCATTTGGAAACAGCTGAGGATTTCTACAGTTTGTCCTTCAAATGGTCCTCTGGCAGATGATTATTGTCCATTTGTGGTGGTGTTTTGCTGTGAAAATATCTTTTTTGTAGATCTTTTGAAACTCAGAGGTTTAATTCTGGGTATACTGGAGAGTTCTGAACTTCCAGAGATTTTCATCTATGTGGCTATTTAAAGGAATGTCTCACTGAGTTGGAAAGAAGCTTTCGCTGTTTTTGTCAAGTTGCATGTTACCTTGAATTGTATCAAGAGATACTTAAATTCTGCATATGTTTATATGTCACGTTTTGTAGCAAATTAAAATCAGTAAATTAAAGAATTATAAGCACTGAAGGTCTGAGCCATTTCCAGGAGAACTCCTGTGCGCAGATGCACCACGCTCCAGTATATCTGCTTCTGACAGAGTGCAGAGGCACCCACACACAACAGGATTCAAGAGGGTGAATCTGCTTGGGTACAGTGAGCCAGCAAATTTGCAAAGGTTGAAGGCTGGTTGATGGGACACAGCTAATAAGCCCATCAGGGCCATGCATAGTACCTATGTGGCTTCACATGATTTCAGCCTTAGTTTGGAAGGACTGGTACAACGTCCAGCTCTGATGAGCTCAGCCTGACTTGTAATATGCAATACTCAGGGATAGCTTCTAGACCCAAGCTGCTCTGGGAGCAGTGGTCACACTTGTTTGGCTTTTCAGCCAAGTGCTTGAGCCCAGTCAGCTCTGTTCTGTGTTTGTGAGTTGGATGAATCACCTAAGAATAATCAGGAGTTGACTGCGTGTGTCTTAATATGAATTAGTATTTCACAATTAGCTTGGGGACAGAAAGGAAAAGAAATTTTGTTAAGATTAGGCACAGTCACACTACATTGCTATAACTCACTGTAGTTCACAAATGCAAAATGAACATACTTCTAATTATAACAACATGTTCTTAATAAATTGTTTGTGAATTTGGAGGATACAAAGGCAACATTCTGTTAAATATGTTCCTGAAGTGAAGGAGCAGTGCTTGTTTTAGGAGGGGAATAGTATTGTTTGCAATGGGAAATCAAGGATAGTCACCTTACAGGGGTTGCAGGCAACTTTTTTGAAACTAAAGAAAAAGATTCGAGTTGTTGACTGTTTCACGTAATGTTTCGTTTGTGCAGAAAACCTTCCAGAGTTGGAAGGGGAAATCTTTGAGTCTGTGAAGCCAGGTCTTTCTGCATATGCTGATCAGCCTGAAAAGGTAAGGCTCTCCTTCATTTCCTGTGAGTTGGTCTTGCTTCTACTAATATCAGTTGGACTCTACCAAGCAGTTCAAGTATTACTAATTGTAATTGTGGAGAGTCAAGAAAAAATATAAAGGTTCTACTGCTGGCTCTCTAAACCTGTTGCTCTACTTTTGTGAGTTAGTTTCTACACAGGGAAATGGGAGCTGTTCTACATATTTCATCAGTGGAACAATGGCTTAATTAATTGCTTAAACGCTATATGTAACTAGACTATATGCCTTTGAGAATTTCAAAGACAAAGTGATTTTTGGCTCTAGCAGCATCCATATTCAATATTTATTTCCCCTATAGCTACCCCAAATATAAGTAAATATATACTCCTGTCTCATTTACTACTAATTTTCTCAATTCTTCCTTTTGGTTGAAATTTTCAGTGCTGGTCACAGTTCAAAATGGGCGTATTTTTGTTTGATTTGTTTAGTTCAGAAGTAAGGGGTTAAGACTGCAGGGGTTTTCTTTGCTTGTCAATGTAACATGACTAAAAAAGAGGGTTCATTTCTCTGACTCCTAAAAATGTTTAATTTTTTTGTGTGTATAGTCAGATCTACAAAAGTTAATTTTTGTTAATAAGTTATGGAGAAGAGGAAGAATAAAGATGCACTTAGCAGGTTAAGTCAGGTCTTAATATTTCTCTAAGTGTATTCTCTACTTCTATCATCAGACTTCCAATAATCTGTTTGGTGTGATTCTTTGCTGTTATCTTTGGAACCATGGCTTGGAAGCCAGTGCTCAGTGATATGTAGGACTTGCTTCAGTCATGCTCAGTTCAAATATTTTATTACAGTTTTAGCTGAATAATGATTCAGGTACAGGCAGTTACTCTTCTACTGCCTCAAGACTCTTGTTGATTTGTTTATATACAGAGTTTTTCAAAACACAGTTGGACAGTTCCGTCTTCCACAATCGGATGTATTAATTAACATATAAATTTATAATTTTAATAAGAAATTGAAGTTAGGTGCAATCCTCTTTATTTTCAAATGGGGGTGGTTGTGAATTCATGCACAGTATACTTGTTCTGTGCCACTCTATTGGATCAGGAGTCCGAAACGAGCAACAGAGCAGAGCATGCTAAAATAATCCTCCTGTTGTGATACACAGGGCCAGTCCTGAAGTAAGCTGCCATTTTCCAGGTCCCTTGTGCTGACAGTAAGCTCTTTCACAAGCTAAAGGAGGTACCAGAGAAATGATAGATTAGATGCTCTACCTTGTGTGCTTTAGCAGTCTTGGAGTTGGGGGCTAGCATAGGGGGAGTTTCAGGTTTCTCAGTTTGCTCAGTTGCATTCAGTGCTACAGGAATTTGAGTGAGAAACTTTATGGAAAAGTGAATGACTTTTGGATTTTTTTAAACTTTGATGAGATCTCCCATTATTTCACTAAATTATCTTGTTTGTTGGGTAGGAGAGAAGAATTCACCCAAAAGAAATTTCTAGACGTTTCACAGGAGAATGTTTATTTCTAATGCCAAACTGTTAGAGCAGTGTAAATAATTGAGAGCCTACCAGTGACATCTGTACCTCGTGTGGTAACCATTCTACAGCTGGCATTTTAATTACACTGCTTGCTATGGACACACTTGGAATTCTTATGTTGCATTTAGTGAAATCTACAGACATTCCTCCTGACCTTTGCAGCTTCAGTCGGTAATTGTACCACTTTTAGCTTCATCATACTGCAAAATGTCTAGGTTTGTCAGATACTCAGTTCCCTCGCCTCCCTCCATCCTTTCAAATAATACTTTCCACAAACAATGACATTTCTCTTGCCTAAGATACATCTCTGAAGACACTTGTCCTTCCAATGCAGACATTGTCTCTAAGATTCTTATGAGATGTCTAGCACAGTTTTTATCCTTATCTTGGGTGTGGGTGAGGTATCTTCTGCTATCGAATACTGGTTTCACTAGTGTTGAGGGGGAATTGGGAGGCCTATTTTCTGACGGCCTGTAGGAGGAAACCATAAGAAAAACATCTTTTTCCTTTCAGGGTGCTGAAACTGTCAGAAGATTGCTGGACATGGCCATAGATGCTGTGCCACCTTATCTCTGGAAGAAGACCCCAGTAGTGTTAAAAGCCACAGCTGGACTGCGCTTGCTGTCGGAGGAGAAAGCTCAGGCTCTGCTTTTAGAGGTGATACTAAGATCTTTTGGATGCACTAGTATTGCTCTCCTGTTTCATCTTTCATGACTCAGTTCTCCATTCTATTTAGCAGAAGAGAATTTCAGCTGTCAAAAGTGACTGTAATCCCATGATAGTATGAAACTCACAGACTTTACAGACTTTCTTGTATGACCCTGAAATCCTCTGTCTTGATGTGGATAGAAGGCATGGGGAAAGGGACCTACAGTACTTGTTCCTTTCTTTCCTGGCCCTTGAAAGAAGAATAATTTTATCTACTCCACACACTTGTCTTATTTTATACCACTGTGAAAAAGAAAACTTTCTCTGTCACTGTCAGAGCAGAACAAGACTCTTAAGACCAAGGAATCTAATAATTATTTCTTTCTTCAGGTGAGAGAAGTCTTTGAGGAATCGCCATTTCTTGTTACAGAGGACAGCGTTAGCATCATGGATGGGTCTTATGAAGGTATGTTTTAGAAGGAGGAAAAAATGAAAGCAAAGAGGAGTGGGGGAAAGAGAGAGAGAGATCTCTTACGGACATGAGAAGGAAGGGGAAATGGTCACTAAACTGAGGGAAGAAATAAAAGGTTTCTAGCCCTGTTTGAAACAATTCAATCCTGCTTTTCCTAGGAGATGTTGATTACTTGGTTAGCTAGATGAAGCTTCATCCAAAACCTTCTGAGGTTCCAGAAGACAACCTCATCTCAGAAATAAGTATGCAGGCTAATGCAGGCTAACCAGCTGAAGCCTGCTCCTGGGAACTGGTGGAAAAAAGATGGTGTCCACCTCTCAAAGGCTACATGATGATACATAGCAAGCTAGGAAGCTTATGGAAAGTGCCTAGTAAATTCTGCAATATCAGCATTAAAAACAATCTATCATGATTAGCTCATCAATTTTTGGGTTAAGGTTGGAAGCATTGTGAATATTAGAGGAGAATGAAGGACAATTGGCAAGTATTAAAAAATTAGGTAACAAAATAAATAATAAAATAATAAATTTAAAAAAATATTCTGATTGGAAAAATGCAGCTAGTAAAGTAACAAAGGAAGTAACCTAAATACAAGAAAAGGTGAAATATGTTGTAGCTTTGGAGTAAGTGATGATTTTGCAGTGCAGAACAGACCACTGTAACATTTTGGCTACATACCCAGACATATTACCTTGGAGAATAGGCAGGTAATAATCCTTCTGTATGGGTGCCTGATAAGAGCCATCTGTGATGTTACATTCAGTTCTGAACACTTCATTATGGCAGATATATTGCCAGTTTGGAAGGTGTTCAAGGAAAGCAAAAAGAATTGTCACGACGCTTAAACAACTAATAAATGGAGGAAGATAAAAGAGCAAAATCTGTCCATATGTGCTAAGAGGAAAGGAGAAGTAACGTGAAGTCTGCAAGTATTCGATGAAGTACGGTGCAATGCATAGTATGTCACTAGGATTAACGGGTGAATTGTATAGTAGGGAGAAGTGTTGTATTGACAGGGAGCAGGACCAGTGAGGCGTAATACAGCACAGTGTAGCTTGCCAAGGTTTATTTAAAAGTCCCACCTCATCTACTGTCACATGTTTGCCTATGTTTGGGTGAGAATCATACCAGTGTCAAGCAAGCCGCTGGAGTCAGAGGAGTTGTTTGTGTTTTACTGGTTGCCACTATGTCTGTAGTGTAATTACAGAAACCACAACATTAAAACACACAGTGGTGTGTATGCAATTTTCAGATTAGGAATTGAAATGCTGGGAGGAAAAAAAGTGCCCAAGGAAACTTGTGCATTGTGTCAGCTCGTTACTTCTTTGCATATTGTTTGGATAATACACAATTTGTGCATGCTGCAGTTCCATGGATATTACAAACGTTCTACCTATCCCAGCTTATGAGATTTTAATGAATCAATAATGCATCATATCACTTATAATTAAGTTTGAATTAATCTCTGAAGTATGAGGTGGTTACGTTAAGTTAGTAATGATTTCCAGGTAAATAAATAACATGTGGAGGGGTGGTAAGGGTGGGCAGGAGGTTGTGGGAGTATTCAGTGGTGACTTTTTTTTTCCTTTTTCACTCTTGCAGGAATTTTAGCCTGGATCACTGTGAACTTTTTGACAGGTAGTTAATTCTGTATAACTTCTCTCTAAATATGAACTTGAGTCTCTTCTGCGGAGGTGATCACCCTAAGTTCCTCTGCCTTGGTTGCCACGTCCTGCTTTTCCTCCCCACTGTGGCACCAGTGCTAAAGCAGTGGATTGTCTTGGGCAGGCTGTTCCAGAGGGTGAGCCACACCTGTAGTAAGAAGGAGGCATCTTAATCCAGAAGGTGCCAGGATTTACTCAGGACTGGGAGCACTGGCAAGCTGGTTTCTGTAATGTATGTAGGGGAGTGGTACTGCTAATCTGTTAGAAGGTGGGAAACAAGGTTTTACAACGTTCTTCATCCCAGCGTCAATTATGCAACTAAAATGGTGTAACAGGGAATGCACTGGTGCTTTAGCCCTGCTGGCTCTAAGAATTTCTGGGAATGCAATCTAGTGAAGAGAACAGAAAATCAGTACTCTACTAGATACGTGAGCAAGCAAAAAAGCTGCTGTGGGTGAAGAGAAATGATAATAGCTGGTTCTGCTCTTACTGTCCTTCCTCTCCTACTGCTCTTGACCAGCTATATGGTGGTTACAGAATTTACGTACTCTCCTTGACAGTCTTCTGCAGGAGATACTTCGTCTCTTACTTTCAGCTATGATGGATACCTAGAGATTTATCTGCTTTTGTCTCTTTGGAGGTGGAATTGGAATCAAGGAGGAAAGTCCTATGAATCTTTTCATAATACCTTCTGTTTGCCTACCTTTTCTCTGTGATGTTTTTTGTCTTTGAAGGCCAGCTCAGCCCTCCTGCATTGCTGTGATAATGTGTTAACTTGGTGGCTGCCTGAACATGCATGCAGTATTTTGCACTTGGGGATGTTCTGAGCATGCTGTTGTTTGCAGGGCAGCTGTCTGGCCAGAACCAGCATACTGTTGGGACTCTGGACTTGGGAGGAGCCTCAACCCAAATCACATTCCTGCCACGGTTTGAGGTGAGGAGTGGTTAAAATTGCACGGGTTGGGACCACAGGGCCAGTGGAGAGACCTGAGCACTGCTGTACTCTCTGATATAATTTTGTCAGCACTGGCACAAGCAGAACATCTGTGGTGTACAGAACATCTATATTTCTGTTCCCTTTGACATCAGCAGTTGGCTGATAGGCACTTGCAAACAAAGAAGCCTGGATAACAAGGAAGAAAAAAGAAAGAAAGAAAATGGGTAAAACCAAAGAGAAACAGCTTTTATTTTCTAGACCCAGGCTGGGAAAGCCCCATTAATGCAGACAATTATTTTGTATTCAATAGATGTAGAACATTTCCAGGGAGTATTCTTGCATATTACAAGAAATTTAGGGTCTGCTCCGAGTTATCTTTTTTTTTTTTTTCCCCCCCCATTCCAGTCTGATAGCAGATCCTCACTAAATTTTGGAAGGGGGTGTCTCACGGGGCAAACGTCTTCTATAATAGCACAGCCAATCCCTCTTTGTTTTCTTATCAATTTCTTCTCATTTTCTTTGAGAATACCCCTCTCTGCCCCTCAGTCCATCTCTGCTGGATTTGTCAGGAATTTTATAGCTCTTTAGAAACAGTTTGAACTGGGACCCAAGTCTAAGGTTTGCATGGGAAAATTACATGGGTATTGGAAGGGCACTATAGCATTCTGTACCTTGATATTGTGAAGTTGTTTTTGTCCCCCTTTCTGAAGGAGTCCTTTGTTTAACATTTTTTTGTTGACAGAAATTGATAGTCTCAAAGGGTGTTTGGGGACCACGAAACACATGGTTTTCGTATCAGGATATTTTACTTCTGCAGTGGTGGGTCACGTTGAAACATGACATGCAACCTTATCCTGTTCAGCAAAGCCTCAAGTACTCTGGGCTTGCCCTCTGTTTTGTGTTGATAACACCTGCTAAAGTGGGCACTGGACCAACGGGAAAGGGTGTTGCATGTCAGGGTTTTGGAGAATAAATAGAGCTGTGAAGTAGGCTGAACTGCAGCTCAGGATTGAAACGTCTCCTTAGAGCCTTGCTGGAAAATGCCTCGAGGGTTTGCTACTGACCAGGACCAATGGTGTGAATTCATAGGGCGGTGTGGAAGCCAAGGTTCACGTTGCCTGCTTTTACGCTATGTCTGCTTCTCACCTGTATTGTCAAGTTTGTACAAAAAACACATATACAGCTCAGTATGTTTCTGAAGAGTTTTTCCCATCTGATGGAATTAGCAGGGATTTCCCCCTTTGATTTCCAGAGGGTTTTTTTCCCTTCCTGCAATCTGAGGCAGTCACATGTTTGCTCTTGTATTCATTTTGAACAAAATACTGTAATAGTAAGAGATTCGTTGATGAAATAGAGATTACAAGAAAATAGAGGACATATAATGGTAACTGCATGGAGCTGTTTTTAAGCTAGTGTTATGATTCTCATGGTATTATTGCCAAAGTGATAAGCAACTGAAAACCAATCATAATCATTATGAAATTGTCTGTCTGGTGCCTGCCTCATTTGGGAGGGGTGTGAGGATTTCTACATTTTTGTGAAAGTAAGGCATGAAAAAAGCCAGTTGTTATCTCCAAACAATTTTTTTTTTTCAGGATCTCTCCTGTTTAAAAGTTTTTGTGACGTAAGGTTTAGGAACAGAACTCAAAATATGGCAGGGTCTGGGTGTGTTGGGTCAAGGATGTGCCTGCCATTCCAATGAAAATCTATCTGAGGCCCAAAACAAATTTCAGTTTGTATTTGTAAAGGAGAAACTCAAGCTGAATACTGCCAAATCTCTTTCAGCTTCGAGCAGACTTCTGTCTAGGACTCTACAATTCCAGATCTGGGTTATTTTTGCTGTATCGGCTTACTTGAATGGTAACTACAGGCACTCTGCAGCTTCAGTCCTCTCTGAGATTCTGCTGCTTGGCCCAGAGTAACAGCGTGTCTGATATGAATGCACAGGGCCAAGAAGGGATGGGAGAATGAGGTCACTAGCAGAGGAAAGACAGAAACTGGGATTGAGATCTTGGGGACTGGAAACAAAGGAACAGTAAATGAGCCCTGAATTGGTTCAGATTTACAAGAATATGACAGTTAGTCTGGCAAGAAGGTATGGACTGAGTACCAGTGGGGCGGAGGTGCGCACAGAGGGAAGACTGTGAAAGGAGGAAAACTGGAGGTGGTGAGACAGGAGGTTAATTTAGAGGAAAGCACTTAAACCAGGAGGTAAAGCAGCCCTAAGACCGGGAGCGAGTGGTCACAGTGTTTCCTTGGGTATCAGCATGACATTTAACATGGTGAAAATGCGGCCTATACTTTACTTTGCATTTTTAATTCTTCTGAGTTCCTGAATTGAGATGTCTAGTCTGACTTGCAAAAGTTCATAGTGCTTCTAGTGCAGCTGATTTTGATGGGGACTGTGTATGTATAGACTAGCACATAAGTACTCTGAAAAATTCAGGTATCCTGAATTAGAAAGTATTTTCATCCTGATCTGTTGCGCTTCCCTATTATACATTGAAGTAACACAAAGTTGCATATAAATAAACTCAGTGTTAAAAGCTGCAGATATTACAGCAGCGGGCCCCATTGGAAAAATGTTCTTTGTTTTCAAAGCAGATCAGATGAGTGTGCAGTAAACCCTATGGGTGTATCTGTGATATTACATCAAAGTTGGTTATTTTTTATTGCATAATAGAAACTAAAAGGTTTCTTCTTTTACTTAACTTTTAGGAAACTTTGAAGGAAACCCCTGGGGATTTTCTTACCTCATTTGAAATGTTTAATAGCACCTACAAGCTCTATACCCACAGGTGAGGAGCAAAAAGGCTGCTGTCTTCGCTGGAAAAATCAGTCTTTCTGCAGCCCCTGAGCTAACCACAAATAGCCATGTCATCCCGTTACCAGCTGTTGGGACCATGACTTTTTTACTCGTTTTCTTATCTGCTTGAAACATTAGTTGAAGTGGAACATGACATTAATTGACTGGAAACGTTCCAGGATCATGGTTAATATCACTGCAAGGGAATATTAGTCAGTCTGTCAAATAAAGAGGAAGCATTACGAGTCACTATATTTAAGGAGAAGAATTCTTATTGCTGGTTTCAAGCCAAATATTCTGGACCAAGCAGAAAGGTGGATATCGTGCCAGTAGTCAGAACCTAAACCTGGTCAGAGAGGATAAGGGGATACCTGGCCTGGAATAATATAATTGTGCTTACTGCGTTAAGCTAACAAGTTTCTGAGATGTCTGCAGTGAAATCCAGAGTTTACCTGCATGACTTACAGTCCAGTGAGAACTGGACCATATATAATAGAGTTAGTTTAACTCTGATTATTCTGTAAACGTTTGTATTGACATGACTAAAGGGATAAGTAGCCAAACATAGAGGTGGGAACAAAAGGCCAACAGGTTTTTAATCTAGCTGTGTTGCTGAAGCCAGCAACGTGTAATGACTTTCTCATAAATGTTGTTCGCATCCTAGCTTGTAATGAGTATAGCGGTAATCTGTGGAGTCAAACAGGTGAATTTCACACAAAGGCACAGCTCCCATTTAGCGGGAGGTTCTGCAGTTCTCCTATTAGCTCTGTCCTAAGAGCACATAGTCCTATGTGTGTGACATAAGAATGGCCATCCTATTCCCCATGCACTCCTCACATACCCTTCTTTCTCCCTCGTTTTTAAGACTGTGCATTTTTGCTTTTCATGAATGTCTTGTAGAAATGTCACATCAGCTCTAACCACTTTCTGCAGTTTTAGATTTACCCATTGTACAGCTCTTTGTAATTCTTGGGTTTGTGTCACTCTTTTGGTACTTGGAATTGTTCTGGCAAAGGGAACTCTGTTTTAGAGAGGGGAGACTTGTGGGAAGCAGAGGAAGGAAATTTGGTTTGGGTATTCTGGGATTTAGGAAGAGGCTATGGGTGAAGCATACCAGATGTGCAAGAATTAAAACTGTAATGTCTGTCTTTGTTGTTCGCAGCTATTTGGGGTTTGGACTAAAAGCTGCCAGACTAGCAACACTTGGAGCTTTGAATATGGAAGGTATGTTCATATGATAAAACATCCAAGATTTTTGAAGAGGTGGTTAGACTTAGTCTTGTGTCAGCAGCCCATTTCCCGTGTCTTCACTTCTGTATCTTGTGCTTTTCTATGTTTTCGCTGGTATAGATCTGTCTGGAAACAAGCTACCGCTTGTTAAGGAGTTGTCTTGTGAGACAGCTGCTTTTCCCTGTTTCCAGGTTCAGCCATCAGTGAGACTGAGTGCAAATTCCAGAAATGCACATGGGAACATACAAACACCATATAGACATGGCCAGCCACAAACGCACAGCTTTACAAGCATCCACAGAAACACAAACAGCATGAATAGATCCTTTTCCTAACGATTGCTGCTTAGGCCAAACCCGCTTTCTAGGTCTCTCTGGTATCTGCCTGGCCCGCCGTGTTCCCCCAGACCTCCTGCTGTATTCACTGACTAATCTAGCTTGAAATCCACGAGCATGGCACACATACTCTCACTCACTAACCTGAATGCATGCTCACATTCCTGAGTCTTTCCAGTCTCTGACCCAGACCTTAAGTCCTTCCAGTCTTCATGCCCAGACCTTGGGCCTTTTGTCCAGTCTCTGGCCAGGACCTGGGGTCTTTCCACCTTCTGGATTCTTACTTGCCAGCTAGATGGACTTGCGTTAATTACTGGAATGTACTCAAATCAAAAATAGTTGGGAATAGGGTTTAAGAAGAAGATAGGACAGACTGCAGTGATTGGTCACAAGGCTCAGCCAGAAAAGCATACTGACCAGCTGCTTGCTTACTTGTGATTGCCTTCTTTTATTGTCCCCTCCATTTTCCCACACTTGTGCTTCCCTGATCCCTTGATTCCCCCTTTCCCTGCCTTTGAGCCTTCCCCTAAACATCCCATAGTAAATTTTGCACAGTCCCACAATCCCCCTTAACCAATCTGTAAGAAGTTTGCTTTTTCTGAGAGACCTGTGCTGGCCACAATAATCATGTTTTCTTCCTACCAGTTGCAGTATTTCTGGTTGAACCCTTCAAGGGTACATTCAGTGGATCCTGTAGTGGCCATTGATCAGTGTCTTAGGAGTTTTTGTCTTCATTGCTCAGTTTGTTGGTTTGTCACGGTTATCTGCTGTTTGTTAGGGTTTGTGTATCTGTGTGTTTAATTAATTACCTCTCTTGTTTCTTGTCTTCTGTGGTGAACAGCCGTTATCCAGATATTCTTCTACCATTTATCTCTCATTAACAAATGACAAGCCCAGCTGCTCTGCAGCTTGCAGGACAAAACGGACACAACTTTTCCAGACTGAGACTGATCCTTAATTTATAATCGGTTTGTGCAGCATCCATCAATTCAGATTTCCATACTTTTGCTTAAAGACCTTAATGAAGATCTTTCAGCCTCTTCTTTTCTGGTTCTGCATATTGATCGATAACTGTGTTAAATTTTATCCTTTCTGACTCTCCCCTCTTGTTTCATTCCAGCTGTGGATGGACAAATGTTCCGCAGTTCTTGTTTGCCAAAGCAGCTGGAGGCAGAGTGGCACTTCGGGGGAGTGAAATACCAGTATGGTGGCATCAAAGAAGGTAAACTAAGGAGACTTGTTGCTTCTTGTAAGATAAATCTTGTCTTCAGAATCTGAGTTTTTCCTTGGCAAATACTCCATCGGTTACCTTGGGTTATGAAGGATACCTGTCCAGTCATAGATGTGGACTTTTGACAAAGTCAAAAGAAAAATCTGAAGCTGTAAGAGTAGCTGGCCTGCACTCTCCGTACTCTGAGAGCACTCTCTGTGATCTCTTAATACAAATGCTACCTTTATAGGAAACGTTAAGAGTTACTTGTGCAAATAAGAGAGCTTTTCCTGAGGATTTGAGCCAAGTGCAAAAACTCTGGCTGTGTTAGGGTACAATAACTGGTAGGCCAAAGCGTACCTCACTTGTGGAACTATTTCTTAAGATACTGTCCCTAATGCTGCATACAGAGGGTGAAGCTGCTACCTTCAGTGACTAGAACAGACCCCTTTGGTGACTGATGTTGCTTTGCTTTACAGTGGGGAACATGAGAGCTGAGTTGCAGATTTGATGTGTGTGGAGTGGATTGATAAAACTACAGTGTGATGGAGAGGGAAAGTAAGGTTTTATCTAGCAGGTGGTTGCAAATGTAAATGAGATTCTGCTGACCACTGAACATAACAATGGAAGTTTTGCCTGATGTGGAGGAAGCTTTTCATACACCTACGCTAGTTTGCGCAGCGCACCTTTCAGATATTGCTATGATCTGCTCTAACCAGTTCCACTTGATGATGGTGATCTAGAGTCCTCGCCTGCATGCAGGTGCCATGCTGGATTACGGAAGGGATATCTAAACTCTTTTCATCTCTTCTGATGCTTTAATCTCCGTTTCTTCCTTTTTTCATCCTATTGCCACTGATTCTTCCATCTCCTGGATATACCTCTTTGGCTCACCCCATCTGTGTTTGTCCTGACAGGAGAAACAGGATTCAAGCCTTGCTACTTGGAAGTACTCAAGGTTGTCAAAGGGAAACTGCACCAACCAGATGAGATTCGTGGAAGTTCCTTCTATGCTTTCTCCTATTACTATGATCGCGCAGTTGACACCAACCTAATTGGTAAATTGGTTTGGGATAATCTACTACGTGTGAGCATGTCAACCAGAAGGTGGACAGAGGAACCCTGGAGGCTGGAGCCGTGGGGAGCAGGGAAAAGGAATGGTGTTGAGAAAGAGGAAATACACAAAATGCCTTCAGGGAATGAACGTGTGTCAGTCAGTGCAGTTCAATGTTCAGAGTTCAGCAGATGAGACTCGTGCTCTGAGCTCCAGTTATACTTGCAGCTCTGTCCTCTGTTACCAACAGATCTCACTCCTAGCCCAGCATTACCGAGTTGCACTCTAGGGTCAACTTAGATACAGAACACAAATGCTTTCAGGTCTATGATGATGTTTTCTCACCTCTTCCTTTTCAGATTGTGAACAGGGAGGTATTCTGGAAGTGAAAGATTTTGAAAGAAAAGCCAAAGAAGGTAATAGTCATGAGACTTGGGAAACTGGTGGGGATGAGAAATAACAAAAATATCAATGTCTATAGGAAGTATATAATGTGAGTTTGATTTTTAAAAAGAAATTTGTTTAACCTTTATTCCACTTACACCTTCCGTGTCATGTTACTTAGCTTTTATTTGCCAACACCTATAACTGTTGCAGAAGAAAGTACTGAAGAACAGCGAGGGGAAACAAAGTGTTAGCAGCTTCGCAGTTCTGTTCAGGAGAGGAGGGAGATAGTTCCTAAATGTCAGTACAAAAAAAAGTGGATTTGCTGTATCGAGAGCTCCTTCTGTCAAACTGCAACTCCCTGAGTTTAGGAGAGTGCTGACTTCTGTAAGTCTGTCACCTTAAACCCTTTTTAGTCTCTAACAAAATGGAGGGAGAGAGCAGAGGTTGTTAAAGTCTGACAGCCTCTTCTGAATTCCTTTCCCTCCCCCTGACTTTTTTCCTGAGTACTTGTTCTAGTTTTGTACCTCCTCCTGTGAAAAAAAGAGCTCCCACCTTGCCATGCTACTGATGGCTAAAACTTTAGCTTACAGAGCAAGACATTACCTCTGAATTGTGATCATCCTCATGATGATTAGTAGACCGTATTTGTCACCAGAAGATGCTTAATTATGTAGTTCAGGACTGACTTTTTTCTAAAATAGGACCTAAATTCTAATGATTTTTCAGTTAAACTTAATCTCCGTAGAGACTCAGATTGTTTTGAATAGGGGGATTAGGCTCTAAAGTTTGAGTGTGTTTGTTTTGTTTTGTTTCCCTGGGATACTGAGAGAGCTTATTTCCAAAGATGCAGCTAAGATGTTAACACCATCAAACCATTTATTTAGCTTTAGAGCATCAGATCAAGTCTGCGATCCTAAACTAATGCTCTTTTTCTCATTTCAATGAGAAAGCCTACTTGTTTTAGTAGGCTTTGGCTTGAGGTCAGTTCAAATGTATAATGTGGATAAAAGCTCCTTTATTTTGCTGAGATCCTTTTTTTTTTTTTTTTCTTCTTCCTTCTCTAGTCTGTGATAACATGGAGAGGTACAACTCAGCCAGTCCTTTCCTCTGCATGGATCTCACTTATATCACTGCTTTACTAAAGGAAGGTTTTGGATTTAGGGACAACACGCTCCTACAGGTGAGAAAAACAGTTAAATCCCAAAGCCAGCTTCCAGATTTCTCTTATCAATCAATATGCATTAGTTCATTTTTCTGGCTAATTATCTACTGAGTCTTTCCAGGTCATTACATGTAGTTGCTGTCATCTGTGCAACATATGAATCTAGAGAACTGTTGGGAACAACTTCTTTTTCTTCCTTTATAGTTAACAAAGAAAGTGAACAACATAGAGACAAGCTGGACTTTGGGTGCTACCTTTCACCTACTGCAGTCTCTGGGGATAACCTATTGAGCTGTGACATTCCTGTGGACTTCAGCATTTCTGAAAGGCTGAGAAGGCAATTGAAATCTCCAGGTATGTTGTTCAGCTGGAGTTGGTCACAGAGCAGAACATGGACCAAAGCTACAGAACAGATCTTCACCCCAGACTGGCATCGTGCATAATGAGAGTTGCCACAGTATGTCTTATAATTGTGATTGCCATAAATGATCCAGAAGCTGCCTTCTGAAAGTCAAAAGGCCTAAACTTCAGCAGAGTATCTGCAAGGGGCTCAAAGCCAGCTTTCACCAGCACGTTTGGATAGCATCCCATCGCTAGAAGCACAGAGAGTGGTAGACTGTTACAGACATGTGATTTCCCCTCCCCCTTTTATTTTAAACATCCATAACTTAGGTTTGCTTGTGAGATGTTAAATACAGAAATTAAAGATGGCATCAACAGTCATTCAGAGAAAAGTGAACAACTCTGGATGCTGCCAGCCTCAGCGTTCCAAGTACCTGGCTGTTAGTTTAGCTAATACATTGCAAGACGACTCCAGTCTTTCAAGAAGGGGCCTGCTATAAGCGTGCTTTGGGCATGGTTTTGGGAAAGGTGTTGGCTAAAACATAGGTTGTAACTTACCAAGCATTTCTTTAGGCAGCAGTCGTTTCCTAAGCAGAATGTGTGCCTGACTGTGTTCCTTTTTGCTGCCCTTTACAAATCTGTGCAGCTATACTGTACATCTGGCTACCAGACCTGATAACTTGATGCATTTAGCATGTAGCCGTAACACGTGGTTGTGCTGGCACAACTAGACAGCAGTGCCAGCTATTTAAACTCCACTGCCAAAAGAAATGTTTGTCATGTTACACCCACAAGGAAATGAAGGGTGCAGTCAGATGAAATGGCTGATCTGATATCTCACTTTGCCGTGAGAGGCGGTTCTGTTTCTCCGCTCTCAGCAAGGCACTCCCACAGCCTTCCTTCCTCTGATGCTGGTGCTCCTCAGGTTCTTTGGTGAACCAATTCACGACACCAAACTTGAGTTAAATTGGCTCACTGAAGAGTCAAGTCTAGTGCTAGCACAAGGGAAATAGGCCTTGCACAACCCAGAGAGACCTGCTGGGCCAGTGAGCCGTTAGAACACCACAGCCCATTTTGTTGAGTGAGCTCTAAGGTGTGGTTTCCCATCTGAAAGTTTGGGCTTATCGCTTCGTGTGCTCTCCTCAGGAACCTCCTCTGAATGCAGAGCTGTGGTGAAACAAGTTGGTTTTTCAGTTAATAGACAAAAATAGGGAGAGCATGGAATTAGCATCAGAAACAGAGGGAGAACAAGAGCAAAGTAGCTTTGCTTTCTTATCCCTTGTTTGCTTATCCCTTGTTCATTTTAAATTGTTTTAAACTTAATTTCTCTTTAATTTAATATAGTGGAGTTAGACCCATAAAATGGTGTGTGCAGCCCTGCATTGCTCTGGAATTGTTTTTAACATATAGAGCAGGGCTTTAGGAACAGTGCATCCAATGAAGGGGTTGCAGCTCTTTAGGAAGTCCAAAACTTCTGTCAGGATAGCATGAAGCTATTCGAGTAACAGTTTAAAGTGAATCTTGCCATCTCTTTCACACCAAACACATAGAAGCAGTGGAAGATCAGTATTTTAAATAAAGCATCTTGTCAGATAGGCTAGAAAGCTGGGCTGTAGGATCCTGATTTTCTTGTTTAATTGGCTGTAGAGAACATCAAGATTGCTCAAATTCCTTGAGGCTCCAAGTGCAGACCTTGCATTGTCCTAAACAGAAACAGCTGTAGAGACAACTTTTTCCATCCCATGAAATAGCTGGCAGCTAGCTCATCTGTTTGCTCCTATTTAGCAAAAAATTAGTATCTTCTACTCACCATGGAATGTGTAACGTAAAGATGAATTTGCCCCAGTCATAGGAACAGAGAGGTATTACACACGTGACTAAGGGAAGCTTTTATCCACTGATCTCTTGCGATGAACACTTTCCTGTCAGGCATTTGCACTTACCTGTTTGCTGTAACACACCTTTCCCAATTCTGTAAAACCAAAGACTGCCCTCACGCTACCTTCTCTGCAAACTGGATTTGAAAATAATTGGCAATTCCCAGCAAGGGGAGGAAGAAGCGTACTCATGCCCTCGCTAATCTTGCCAAGCAGTTTGGAGACTTAGAAATTTGCCTTACTGTGAACATTAGTCCACTTCCTCTAGTTAGCAGCGCAAGTTTGGCTGTGGCTGATTAAGCTACCCCCTTCTCATAACTCAGGTTTTAGAGCGCTAGGGTGCAAGGTGTGCCTTTGGTTGAACAAGTTCAGTCAGCAGCAGGAGTCCAAGGGTTGGGGATGGAGCTACCCGTACTCGTCCCACCACTGACACCTTGCTGTAAATTCAGGCTGTTTCTCTGAAATATGAAATGCTCATCCTACCTGTACTCCTCCTTACCAGAATCTGTTTTGAGATCCATGTTGGGAAATTCCTCAGTGTCACACCAAACTTCTGTTCCTTCCTCACTAGGAGCTTCTGTTTGAACATGAAGAAAGTAGTACTTCTTCTCAGCCACAAACATTTCTTATTCCCCTTCCTAGTGTTTGGCAAAACTTAGTACATGGTCTGGTCTGCACAACAAGGTGACTGCAAACACATTCATTTTGTCTTCAGTGAACAATTGTATTCATTTTTGTATTCTCAGAGAACACAAAGTAGGATGCAGTGGTTACAAGCCCAGCTGCACTACTCCCGAGAACTAGCTAATTTAATAATCCAAAAGTCTTCTTTCAGTCTGAGCCAGTGCTATGACAAACTCTTACTAGATCTTGGGGCTAAGAGCCATAAGCAGTGAGGCTGTATTTGAAACAGGAACAGAAGGTGGGATGTTACATGTAAGGAACAAGCAGCAGCAGCGTATCTGCCACCTGAATAGACGCTAGCCCTGAGGAGTACTTAAGGGTTTGGTTTTGTCTGAAGGGAGGATGGTCTAGAACAAGACAGGTACCACGCAGGGGAAGTTTCTTTTCTGTGTTCTTTGCCTCAGGCTCTGGTACTACAAATGCTAGGTGGGAGCATCTGCTTCCCAGTACCAAAGTTGCATTAAATCCAAATGCTCAGGGCCTTCATTTGTCAGTGGCACAATTCATTACCTGAAGCAAAACTGCTGCTCTCCATCAGGGGCCTGGTCCTGCAGTCATGAGAGAAACAAAAACTCAGCTCAAAGGTTTCTTTTGCAAGAAATTGCAGAATTCAGCCCCTGCTGTTTACATCTGAACTACTCAAGGTGGGTGGGGGATCTAGAGAAGCCAGTCAAGTCCTCACACTTACCCTAGTGCAATGAGATTATTTATTAGCTTAACTAAAGACTAAGCAGCCTTTTAAGAGAAGAGTTCTACTTGCAGCCCTGATTTTTATCTCTTCCTTTGTAGTGTCTTTTAGCCAGTCACTAACAGGAACTGCCTAATATGAGTGACTGAAGAAGCACAAGTAATGGCTTTCAGTTCAAAACTTATGTTCCATTCTTTCTGATGTTAATTCCTGATACTGGTTAACCATATGTGTAAGTCTTGCCTGTGGGCAGTACTCACTCAATGTCGTGAGCATCAAATGTCTAATGCAGGAGGCTGGTGTTTGGAACCTAAGACAGAATATCCTGAATGTCTATTTTAGTAATTAAAGCATTTTTAACAGTATTCAAGATGTTGTGGTGCAGTTTTCTTTCCTAGACATTATTGTTGTCTTGCATCTCTTTTTCATGGAGCCCTTAAGACTAGCCAGTTCCACAAGAAACACCATTATTAAATAAAGCACCAAGAGAAGGGCAGGGAGAAGGGTGAAAGAAAGAGAGACAGATTAGAGCTTTAAAACATATCTGCCATCATGAGTTGGCTCTCCTCTACTGAAAACTACCCATCCTTTCTGAGTCCAGGAAGTGCTAAGAACCCTGGAGTGACACTACAGCTCTACAAATCACATCAGAGAAAACTGAAAGTAATTAAGCAGCAAAAGTTGTAGCTGGCAAAATTCAGCACCGCATTTGCCAGAAGACGGCTGTTTCCACCTCAGTCTTCAATTCAAAAGGTGCAAATTAAAAGCACATTGTACAGATAGTTCTGTGGCTGAAGACATCATGGTACTAGAGGAAGAGACCCTAAATCCTCTTGAGGAGAGCAGATGAGACAGAACTTTTGCATAAACCACTGGATGCTGTATTACACAGCTCAATGCCTCAGTTTTATTGTTAAATTAAAATATCACAATTCAAAGATTCAAGTCAGTCACAGTCCTTATAAGGGCAATGCATTCACTGGCAAGCTGCTGTTCCAAACTGACAACAGATCACTTGCTGGCAAAAGCCATGATTTGCTCCTAAAAGAGGGGAAGAAAAAGGTAAGTAATTCATAAACTGGTAATAAGCATACATTCTAGAAAGCAGCTATAGTCTCCTTCCCTTTTACATATATATGGACAACAGGTCTTTGTCAGCCTTTTTAGCCAAGCGCAGAGCACCTATCCCTGTATGCTAGAAAATTAAAGAAGTTGCAGCGTTCCTTTCCCTCCGGAGTAGCACAAACAGAGGTGTTACCAACAGGTTCTATGCTCAGAAAAAGAGGTCTTCATTTGGTTTTCTGCTTTAAACAGAGAAGCAGAAAAAAAAATTTGAGCACTGAAGCAGCAACACAGTCCTCTTTTTAGTGCAACTAATAAAGACACCTTACCAGTGGCAGCTACTATGCCTTAGGAATTTACTGCTCTTCAACTCAGGTAGCGTCTTAACTGCAACCATAACACAAAGGAAACAGGCTACTGTGTTTAATAGGAAGAAGGTGACTTGATTTGTGGAATAAAACACTCAAATCCAGAAATGAGGAATTTAATTTGAGGGTGCTTGGAAGCTTTGAGAGCAGGTGGCTTAAGGAACCTCATGAAAATCCAGCAACTAGGTCAAACGGTGCAGAATTTAGGCAGATAGGCTGCAAACAGAGGGTCTGTGTTTAAGACAACCTCCTCACCACTGCCTTCCTCAGGTAATTTCCATTATAGAGACTTGCACTTCTGCCATGAGGACAATTTCACATGGCAAAACAGCACAGAAACAGATAGCTCGTATGAGCTGCATGCCACATCTGTCAAGTCAAGTCACCTGATGTCTTGTGCTTAGTGAAGCTGTGTCTTCATAGGGATGGTTTTTCATAGTGCATTTCTGGAATGCAGTTCAAGGTTCCACATTTTAATTCCGTAACAAAATAAAGCCAAAGACTTCTAATGACTTTTAACCTCTAACTACTGATACAGAGTATAGACACTTAGATCCTCATCTTCCTTTGTGCTGCAGGAGAAACCGTTAGTACCGAGCCACCAGTTATTTAGGAACTCCTCAGGCTCATTCAGGACACAAAACCTCAGTTTGAACAAGTAGCATTTTCCAACCAAAAATGTTTCTTTTAAAAAGAAAAAAATCTTCACAGCTTGTGTGTTTCACAAATAGTTCTGGACTCTTCCTACAGCCCTCACTAAAGTGAGATTCTTACTTTGACAGGAGGCAGGGCATTTGTTGCTTGCAATCCCCATGTCCTCAGCAGCACCAAGGGAGCCAGCCTCGTGGAGTAAAGCCTCTTTAGCATATCAATAGCAGCTATCAAAGAGACATTGTGCCTCTGACGTTCTGTCTCAAACTTTAAGAGATGTTTTAAGGAGCCTGGAAGAGATAATTGCTCATATTAAAATTTACTTGCCACAAAAGAACTGTGCATCTTATCTATATAGCGGTCTCCACTGACAACTGAAAACACAGAAAAAGAACAGAGAAATGGCCCATCTTAATAAAGGCCTCCTTCCAACAGCTAGTGATCTTCATCTCACCCCCTCTTTAACTACCATCCTGCAGAACTTTTTTTTTTAAAGCAGCTTTGAGATTTGTGGGATGGAAACTGCATCCAAAAAATCTTTTAAACTGCTCCACAGCCAATGGACATCAGAACAGTTTTGCTTCAAAGGCACCTGTGCCTTTCAAACACACATAGCAGCACGCTTAACCTGCAAACAGAGATAATGCTTGTCCTGATGTTAGCAGCAAAGGCCTGTAAGACTAATCATCTTACTGCCACTTCATTGTCTTGGATCCTTACCCAGATCGCTCCCACTGAAGGCTGCTGCACTGAGGTGATGGGCTAAACAAGCAATATCACCAAAGCCCAAGTTTACACCTTGTCCTGCAAGTGGGTGGACTCTGTGCGCTGCATCCCTGGAACAAGAGAAGACAGAACTTTATACCCCTTCTTGAAGAAAGCCATAATGGCTGACAAACCCCAGAAGGGATCAGTATAGCACTCCTCACCTCTTTGCAATGAACACCACCTTACAGCGCCATATACGCTTTATCCAGAACCTCCTTGCATGCTATGCTGAACTACCTGACTGCCTCTCCAGTTGTAAGAAGCAAGACAAAGGGGAGGTAACAAAAAGCAGTTCTGAAAGGAAAAATTATAAAGAGGTAACTAGCCAAAGTCCTCTCAGATCATGTGTGGAAAAGGCCTTAATGTTTTTGTAAGTGACCTTGGCACAACAGGAGGTACATCACTGGCACATTTCACAAGCACAAAGTAGATGGACATCATGAATGGGAGAGAAGTGGGATATCATTGAACAGAAACAAAATCAGGTTCTTTTATGAGCAGACTTGTCTGTAAAGGACAAAGCCAGGCATATTGATAAGGGAGTCTTCAAGATAGAGAAATGAAATGAAGTTTGGGTGTGAAATTTAGGATCACGCACTTTAACAAGCTATGAAGCACAGAGTGCTCCCAAGCAGAGTGGCTCACAAGTTGGACAGATGAGAAGTACCTGAAGTGTAATACGGCATCCAAGAATTACTATAAGCTACCAGTGTATTGCAGCTGTGGCGGAGCAAGAGGTACATGCACCCTTAGAATGTAAAAGATGAGATATTTTCCTATTTCTATAGGCCACCGTACAAAAGCCTATGACATCCCATCCAGAATAATTTGTAAGTTTTGTCATTCATGTTCAAGAAAGGAGAGTTTAAAACTCAAACTGGTACACAAAATGGCTGCTACAATGTTTGGGGAAGTACAGGCCCAGCATGAGATAGAATCATAGAATCATAGAGGTTGGAAAAGACCTCTAAGATCATTGAGTCCAACCGTCAACCCAACACCACCATGCCCACTAAACCATGTCCCTAAGCGCATCATCTACACGTCTTTTAAATACCTCCAGGGATGGGGACTCCA